GGCTAATCTTGCTGATATTTCTGGGGCATAAATGGACTCAGAATATGTGACTAAGAAAAAAAATCAGATAGGAACATAGTTCTGGACCTTTTTACATAAAAGAAGATTTTCTTTCGTTGGTATGGAAGTGAGCAGATGTCTGATAACCTTTTGCCAACCTGGAACATTCCTGCTCACTCTAGGGAATTCCTTCGGGCTGATGTTTCTAGGCCTTACCCAGTTGATTCAAAAGTTCTGTCACAGATATCGGAATGATCTAGGTTAACTCTAAAAAGGAGAGAATGGTTTCTTGGCCTCTATTTCTGGCTCGGTGCCTCGACTGTCTATAAAACAGGAAAGATGCCCCACTCACTGCTCATGAAATAGCTTTATATTTACACAACGAAACACTACAGTGGGGACAAGGATGATCCTCACTTACAATCCCAACACTTTTACACCACCCTGATCTTTTGTTTTATCGGACCACTTCCACTTACCAGCGCTAAAAGAGAAAAGGTATAACCCAGTAAGCACTTTCTCATTGCACCAATAAAAGTCAACCCGAGGCTCTACGGCCTGTCACCAGGAACACATCTCTCTTGCTCAGGTAAGTAGCTAGTGGGAGGATGAATTCAGGTCCTATGTGCACTCAGCGTTGTCAGTTCCAGGGGCTTGAAATACCCAGCAACAATCTGTTTTATGACTAAATATGCCTCTACTTTCCATCTCTACTCTCTAGTAAACTCTAATCATTAACCCATTACCTTCCTTCACTCTGCATCTCCTGCCTCAGGCAACATTATCAGCATTTGCTGGGTAACCTAGCTACATCCAAGTCTTATCAGGGTCTACCCTGAAGCCCTGTCCTTCAGTGGCCACAGGACTCCCAAGAATGTTCAGAATCAAGTAATAAGTCTTGGGCCACCAGAGCCAGACTTCAATGTGGAGAAACAATCAGATCTCCCTACAGAAACTGTCCAATGCCCCATCCTTCCTTGTTATCCAACTGTCCCCAAAATAAACCAAGGGGAACTCAGTAGAGCTTGCGACCTGCAAATGAGCAAAGTGAGGGAATTCATATGACAGCACGGTGTTTGAGAAGTATACAGTCAAATTAGAACCTGAAGGTGGGCAATATTTTTAACAAAAACCTTAAATTCTAAAACATCCTTTTTATTTTTATTTTATATATATATGAGTACATTGCTTGCATGTATGTAAACGCACCCATGTAATGCAATGCCTGCAGAGGTCAGAAGAGGGTGTCAGATTCCCCTGGAACTGGAGTTACAGATGGTTGTTAGCCACTCTGTGGATGCTAGGAATTGAACCTGGGTCTTCTGGAAGAGCATCCAGTGCTCTTACCTGCTGAACCATCTCTCCAGCCTCCCAAAACTTTAAAGTCTATAAACCATAAATTTCAGTATTGTCTATGGGGTGATTGCTTACTTTTAACTTTCTCTAAAGAATGGAGCACTTTTCAGGGCTGGAGAAATGGCTCAGTGGTTAAGAACACTTGCTGTTCTTCCAGAGGACCTGGGGTCAAGATTCCCAGCACCAAGACGGTGGCTAACAACCATCCATAACTCCAGTTCCAGGGTATCCGACACCCTCTTCTGGTCTCTATGGGCTTTGCATGACACAGGTGCACTTACACACATGCAGTCAAAACACTCAGAATACACACAGAATTAAAGTATTGGGGGGGGGGCTGGAGAGGTGGCTCAGTGGTTAACACTAGTTGTTCTTGCCGAAGACCCCAGTTTGAATCTCAGCACTCACATAGCAGCTAACAACTGTCCGTAACTCCAGTTCTAGGGGATCAGACAGCCTCTTCTGTCCTCCACGGGCATTGCACAACATGGGCGCACTTACCTACATGTAGGTAATACATGCATACACATAAAATAAAAATAATAAATAAAATATTTTTAAAAAATGGAGCACTTTTCAAATCTTGTCAGATCAGCGTAAGTCTTATGACATTCCAACAATCTGAACCACTGTTTTTCATTAGTGTATTCATGGGAAAGTTAAAAACTAGACAGGCTGAGGCTGGAGAGATGGCTCAGCAGCTAAGAGAACCTGAGTTTAGTTCCCAGCACCCACCTCTGGTGGGTCCCATTGGCCTGTAACAGCAGCTCCCGGGGATCTGATGCCCTCTTCTGGTCTCAATGGGTACTGCACTCACACATACACACAAATATACACATAAATAAAAATAAAATAAATATTTTTTTAAAAAAAAAAACAAGATGAAATTATCAAAGATTTAATTTAAATTATTATTTTTTAAAAAATTAGGAAAGCTGGCTTACCATCATCACAACATAAATTAGCAATGGAGGAAGAACTAAAACCAAATCCCCCTTGAGGTAACAGGGTTTCTAGGCATTCTCTTTGGCCTTTGACTTTTGAATACCTACATGGGAAGCTTCCCATTCGATCTAATAGAATTTAATACTCTGTTTGAGATACTATTCCCCAAATGCAGTTAAGCATCTTAAGTGAATTACAAAGATGATTTTTGCTAATTACCCCTCAAAAACATGTCTTTATCTTCCAGACTCTAACTCTCCAGGGTAAATTATATGTTGGAGTCACAATGACATCTCTTGTTCTATTGAAACTTAACTCCTTCGGTGCCTGGGAGCTACAGAGGTCCAGTTTGCTCATAAATCTAGCACTAAGAAGAAAAAAAGGCCTTGTCTCCAAAGTCCAGGGCCCACCATGCACACTGAACCAGAGAACGTGGTACTTGTTTGATTAAAATGTTGCAAACGTTAAAAATGTAATAGAAAATGTACCTAATTAGAGGGCATACATGCTTAGCATGTACACACATATCTAGAATTATCATTCCCAAAGACAGGCAGATGGTCATCAGTTAAAAGAAGCCTCATATCTCATTTATTAACAGTGAGCTAACCCAAAGCATCCTTACTCCTAACTAAATCCTGCATACGCTCTTGTACCTAATGTCATGCCTTGTTGAACCACTTCATATATAAAACTCAGACAACTGTGGCTCTGTATGATAATTGCATGTGCACTTAAAGTGGTTTCCCATGACTGTCCCCATATCTGGCAAGTCTCCTCTGGATATGCCCATCAGCAGACACTGAGGCTTGGCACATTCAGGATTGTCTGGAGCCATCACCTCGTTCTGACATCGCTCTGACAGTACAATTTTCCAACATCACTTTTATTTCATCCCATAAATAAAATTACAAAGATTGAGTAGCCTCCTATAACACTGTGAAATGAATTCTCCAGGTGGCTTCAACCAAAACAAAGGCCCAGTTTGACACATGACCCCATAAATCATGATGCATGCATTCAAGACTCAACCTTTGTTTCTTCCTGTCATTCTCTTTTTAGGAAGAGTTGGTGTTTTACTTTTGCAGAAGAGGAGCCTTTAAACAACACAAAAAACCTCTTATGAGAGTGGGTCCTCAAGAATGTTCTGGCAGGGCATGGTGGTACACATCTTTAATCCTATAACTCTGGAGGCGAAGGCAGGCAGATCTATAAATACAAGGCCAGCCAAGGTTACATAGTAAGACTCTGTCTCCAAACAAAACAAAACAAAACAAATGTTCTATAATAATTTTGGTGTAGAGCAACTCATAAAGATTATCAAATATCAGATATTATTGTATCTTAAGCACTAAGGTCTCGCAAATCTTTATCAGATGGTCAAGTCCCTCTGTAGAACCTCACCCACCCTGCATTCTTTGTAACACTCAACATAAAGGTAACTGATGAGCTGTGGGTTTGTAGTTACTGCCTGTACCCTCCATCAGAACATAAGCTCTGTGTGCGCAAGAACAGTCTCACATACCTCTGTATTTTCACTGTTGTACCTGAGCCAGTGCTTTGAACTGGGTAGGAAATCAAGGACTATTGATGAACAATCAAAACAGCAATGAAATCTGTGAGTGGGGAAAGGTGTTAAATCAGAGGAGTCTACCATGCAAGGTGAGAAAAGCTTTTAGTCTCTCTGAAATTTACTCTTGGGGTGTCCTGGCAGATTCATGATGGAACTATAAACGTGGCAAACTGACAATAATCTGGAGTTAATTATTTTTGAGATAACTTCTGGATTCATAAAACCAATTCTCCTGGTAGTAATTTCTCACATTTCAAATTTTACAACAGTCTGTGGGTATCTGTTTAATTGAACTCTGGTATAGAAAGCCCCAGTGTGTGTGTG